GTTGCTGTTGCTGTTGTGGTTGTGTTTGTGGTTGTGGTTGTGGCTGTGGTTGTGGTTGTTGTTGTTGTTGTGTTTGTTGGTGTTGGTGCTGGTGCTGGTGCTGGTGTTGGTGTTGTTGTTGTTGTTGTTTTTGGTGTTGGTGCTGGTGCTGGTGCTGGTGTTGGTGGTGTTGTTGTTGTGGTTGTGTTATTGTGTTTGTGTGTTTGTGTATGTATGTGTGTGTATATACGTGTGTGTGTGTGTGTTTTGTGTTTGTGTGTGTGTGCGTGCGGACACCTGTGCGATGATGCAGGTTTTTGTGATCACATGTTGTTGCCAGTGGGTCATACATACAGTGTTCTGCGCATGTGAGCACCTATTGGCCCATTGACCTAGGGTTTTATTTGTCGATTTTTTGGTGCTCATGGTTTGGCAATCCGCAGAGGTTTCAGTGGGATGACAGGTTTCCTTGCTTTTGTTGACGCAGGGACATGTATATAGAAACAGTGCCGAAAAATACTAATCTGTCTGTAGTTGCAACGGTTGATACCAATCCTGCACGTGTTCTTCACACACAGCTCTCGCGGCTAATTGTGTGTGCGGACTCCTGTTTACCAAGGATCAGTTAGCAGACACCTAGAGTCTCAGCTCTTGCCGCATGGCAGCAGGCCATCACTTGAACCACATGCTTGTCAAGTTTGCTTGGTGACTGAAGCAACAACGACAACATTTGATGAATTGATTGCGGGGGCATGTGGCAAAACATGCCACAGTTGATTCTGTGATCAAGCTGTTTCTGATTTCAGTTGCCGGCGTTGTGATGCTTCTCAACTAAATTGCATAGGAAACTCTGGAACAACCTTCGAGAGATCACAGTGATATCAGATTCTCCGTGCAGGGGGGCTGCCCCACAGAGGTGACAGCCCAACGAAGAGGTCTCTGTGATGGCACTGACATGAGTTGAGGACGCTCAACTCACGTACCGGCAAAAGCCGCAAGCATTTACCGAAAATTGTGCGGCCAAGCTGACAAGCGCTACGTTGTTACGGAAACTTTCAGTTGCCAAGCACGTATGGCACATCTTTGCTTGGGGTGAGGTTTTGTCGATGGGTCAAGTTGCGAGGAACTGTTTTGTAGACCTGTCAAAACGCGAGGATTCGTACGCAGATCTTTCCATGATCAACCATTACAGATGCTTGCCAATGATGTTTTGCCTCCAGCATGGTCGTATTTCTTTGTTTTCAACATGTTCTGAAACACAATGGCGAAACTGAATAACCAGCCCTGGAGGCTAAACCTGTTTCTGAGTCGGTGCAGTTGTTGACACTCAGGGGAGGTTGCACGAGTGCCTGTTTGTTGGATTGTTCGTTTGCTTGGGTGCTTGCGTGTTTGTGTGTTTGTGTTGGCTTGTTTGTGTGTTTGTTTGTTGTGATTGGTGGGTCGATCGGTCGGTCGGTTGGTTGGTCGTTGTTGTTAGTGGTGGTGGTGGTAGTGGTGTTAATGACGTGAACAATTCTGCACTTTTGCAGGGAGAGCCGCGTGTCGTGCACGTCGATCAAGAGTTCGCGTCCTGTTCGCAGAGAAGCAGGAGTGGACAGCCATCATGTGAATGCTCAAAAACCAGCCAAAAACACAGTTTCAGGGCTTCTTCTGTTTTGCAAGGCCTTTGGGATTCGAAACTTGCTGACGCCTTGATGGACCTCACTTCCGAAGGGGCGTTCAGGGCGCACGGCGTTGCTTGTATCTTGTAATGACTTTGTTTCTGTGCTGTGAATGACGTTTAAATTGGATCCCAAAGGCCAGAACTTCGGTTCACACGCAGGTTGAAGGTCCTCCGTACATGTAGACCTCACTGGGCTACACTTCCAAGGACATGAAGATCACCCATCTTGCCGATGACTTTGCTTCCTTCGTGCGGGGCTTGAAAACAGAGGAGGAGACGCAGTGTGGTTGAAGATTGTGGGGGGATGCCAAGTATGATAGCGAAACCTAACAGGAATGTGGCCTTGATAGCATTGGCTTGTGTCCGGTTTCGAAGCTTTCGTGAATTCTGACGGCTCCAGACTCTTGCTGACTCTTCTGTTTTGAGATATGCACGGGATCTTTGCCTTGCCGGACATGGTGTCATTCGTTCACAGCGGGTTGTATAGTCATGCCAGCAAAACGCGGCTCCAGGCAGGATAAGTCGGATAAACCAGTTCAGCCTCGTGTGACTGCCGCTGCTATCGAAGGAGTTTGAATCATCCGACTTGCCGCTTGGCTTGCCGCTGGTTGCTTTGTGTCCGATGATTGTCTTGGCTTTGCTGTGCTCAGTTGAGAGTTGTGTTGTCGTCTTGTTGAGCTGGGCTGGTACTCCTGCAGCATGCATATCTGATCATATACACGACTGTGTTTACGTATGCATGCAAGCACATGAATTGACTTGTGCCTGTCGTACCACCACAAGCAAGATTCCTCTCGTGATCTCCTTAGAGTCGTTTGGAGAATTTCGGAGAGTTTAGTAGCAGTATATAAGTACCCGGCATCCACTGCTGCAGCCTTTTCCATTCCCAGGCCAGCCGAAAAGCGAGCCCGTGGCGCCGATGATGAGGAAGGGGACGGGCCAGACGAGGGTGAGGAGGAGGAGGAGGCGGAGCCGCAGCAAGGCAGCGTCGTGTGGTGGGAAGACCAAGGATCTGATCTCAAATTGTCGCAGGTTTAGGACCTGATGCTTGAATTTTTGCGTGCAGCATCCCATGAATCTCTCCAACCTAGAACCGCCTTCTTGACCAGCTTGTAAAACCGTGTTGTAAAACCGTGGGTTGACTGACTGACGGGCTGCACCATGCTCTGGGCAAGCTTCTTGGGGCCTGTTCTGGTTTGAGCTCATCGTGTCGTTTTGTGGGCGCAGGTTGAGAAGCTCGTCACTGCGAGCACTGGTGTGAGCTTCTTTGACCTTCGTCAGGGAGACATTCAATTTCAGGAACTCCTGGTAGGCGCCCGTTTCTTTCTCAGCAGTACTAACGAGCTCAGAATTGCAGGCTTGGTATCTCGACACAGGCTCGGTGGTAGTTCACTGCTACGCTGCAGATCCTTACATGTTGCCCACTTTCTATTTAGCCTGCAATTCCAACTGGTCTCGCCAGTGCAGTAAGCTGGCCAAACCAGTCCCAATATTGCCCCATCATGCAATGCAATGCATATAGTCACAATATAGTCATATAGACAGTTGGTATAAGAAGTTGACGGCTAGAAAACACGTGCAGCACCTCTGCATTGTAGTAGCCCAGTAGTCGAGCCCGCGAGAAGAAAAGACACGCCCTCTGCCAACTTGAATGCGACTGGATTCTCATTTGATGAACAACTGCGTCTTTCGTGCAGCAGTTCGAGAGGGCAGAGGGACTTCAGCGCCGTGTACTGGATTGAAGATACTCGTGTCTTCTAGTCTCAGTCTCGGTTCCTTCATGAGAAGTTGAAATCGATTTTAACTGTGTGTGTCGAGAAGTCCACCACCTGGTAGTGATGCTGATATTCCGCAGAGTGCGATGGGACAAAGCCAGCCGGGACAGGCTACCGAAATGGTCGTGCGCTGCACAAAGTCTATTTATGTTTCTGCGAGATGCGTTCGCAAGTGCACTGGTGTTCTAGGACCCTAGCGCCACGAACCTCCTCGCACAGACACGGCAGTGATAGGCTAGCATGCTGGAAAGCGTGAGAATGTCGGAGAGTAGACCCTTGACAGTCTTGCCAGGTGGTCTTCGCCAGAGGCGCCCACAGAGTCCTTGCACGAAGAGCTTGCCGACCTAGGCAGGGCAGCGGTTTTGGCTTGAGGTGGCTGGGCCGGTGGGTGGCGATTGACGGTTGTTGTGGGGACAGGAACATGATCCATGCTGCTTTTACGCAAGGGCTTCGCCTAGCATCGTACCAGAAAGTCATGACATGCCAGCTAATCGCTTCGGACTCGAGCCTAGCGAAATCTTGAGCTGCTTGTTCGTCCATGCGCTGTCTAAGGTTGAGACAGTACGCAGTATTCTCCTAGCAACAGCTAATCTCAACAGCGAAGAAGAAATCCAAGCCCTGTCTTACGCCCACACTCCAGCCTTCTCCATGAGAGATGGATGGGAGTATTGTCGAAGTCGGTGCTGAAGTTAAAGCATGTATTATGATGGCCTCAACAGGGCTTCCAAGAACTCCAGGTGCATATTGCCTGCGCAGGACTCGATGACGAGGACATGTTCTTCAATGGACTATCGGAGCTAAGCCGTCGGGATGCGCTGTTTGCTTGCTCCCTTCTCGCACCTCGAATTCCAAGAGCTCGTTGGGCTGATCCAAGTTTGCAGGTTTCTGGTAAGGGTTCGGTTCCTGGAGAGACCGGGCATGCTGATGCTTCCAGGCAGGCAATACAGAAGCCTGCACGCCCTGAAGCCCAGCAGAAGCAGCTCTCTGAACTTAGAACAACGTAGTACTGCAGACTAGCGATAAGCATATCAATGACGATGCCCACCTTGATTTCTCAGGCAGCAAGGGGAATGAGATGTGCGTGCGTGTGTGTGTGTGTGTCTCTCTCTCTCTCTCTCTCTCTCTCTCTCTATATATATATACACATATAAACCTGCGTATCCCTCTCTCTCTCTCTATATATATATACACATAAACCTGCGTATATGATATGTATATCTATATATATATATAGAGAGAGAGAGTATGCAAATTTATATTATATATATATACACATATATGCATATATATATATACATATATATATGCTCATACACATACACACACACACACCCCTGTATGTATGTATGTATGTATGTATGTATGTATGTATATGTATGTATGTATGTATGTATGCATGTGTTTATGTACGCATGTCTGTAAGATTCATGTGCATGGCTTCTCAGCCAGTAGCTCATTAAATCAAACTGAAACGACGTTGATCACGAGACTTTATGCTTCAACTGGAACAGAAGTTTTGTTTGACACAGAAGCAAAACTTGTTTCAAGTTGCAGGTATTTGTTGATCATCTATTCTTTTTGTGGTGCTTTTTGCCTAGAGATAAGGGTTATAGGTTGACAGCTGAAACATGTTCAGGTACCCGCATGATATCACATTGCGGATCAGCATAGAATTATAAAGATGTGTCTCATTATATACTTTCTCAGCAAAACGGTGAAGATTGGTTAGTTGTCGCTTACTGCACGCTTAACATCTGAAACTCTCACCCCATGATAACTGCGTATACTTAAGCCTAAATGCAAATTGCCGTATTGTTCACTGGTGTAAGCACCGGTGATTGCTAAACCTAGTGAGAGGAGTTTCTTAATAGTCAATTGTATTTGCACAGCTAGTGATTGGTTTAAGTTGCATGTTCTAAACTCAAGTTGTCACGTTGCGATATTCTTGAGACTCTTACCTATACTTCGCAGACTAGTTTGAGGAATGCCTTCTTCGCTTGTGCAAATATACCGTGAACAGAAAATCTAAGATTGAACCAACAATTGTTCAGCATTGGGCATTTAGAAAGTATGTGGGCGATGTGGGCGAAGTGTCCCGTTTACACGTAAGTGACGAAAGCCCTTTTAAATATTGATGCCTAGTTGATGTTCCGTTGATAAAACTAAGTCCAAATGCCATCTTGACAGGAGGAAATCTTCAATCTACTATTCAACTAACAATAGCAGTCTAACTTGTGATGCTGACCTAAAACTTGACCAGGGTGACTTACTTCTACTCACGTTCATGCACATGATAATAACAATTCAACGGCTGTGCATTGACGTTCATTGTTCAGTAAATCCTAAATGGTAAGACCTGAGTTTGAATCTATGTTTACTTGATTTCATTTCTTCTGGACATTGCACAAATATGTAAAGAGTACTGCAACTTTGCGAAGTATCCTCTGTGATCACCTCAATACATGAGACCAACATCTTTGTAGTGATTGAAAACTGGTCGGTCACGTTGTAGACTGTTATTTACTTGCTGCGAACCTTGCAATATGCACATCACAGCACCCAGTTAGCACTTCCGAGCCCTCTACATAGTTCATCATGCTTCACCGGGCTGTGTGTCAGCGGTCGTGAAAACGACACAGGCAGGGAATCTGCCCGCTGCTGTTAGATCCAAGGTTCTCGCCTTGATGATCAACGGCCGAATCGACCGCACCAACTGGGCTTTCATCCAACGTGCCAGTCGGAGTGTACCTGGGCAGTTGCGAAAGGTTGGAAGAGTGAAGATGTGGCAGATCTGAATTGATTTCGCCTCGATTGCAGGTAGAGCCCCCACTGGAAGCAAAGTGGTCCAATGTGCTCCATCTGGTGAATGCGTTGCCTGACTGCAGTCTGACTGAGACCGGGTCGAGATGGGTCCTTGGTAATGCACAATTCTGCACCCAGTCATTCAGTCTCATACTCCGACCCAGCCGATGCACCACCATTCGCGTTATCGAACTTGTCCCGTGTTGTGGTTGTTCGCCGTTCGTGGTGCATGGGTCCGCAAGTTTCAATGAAGATCTCCTCTTATTAAAATCCTGGTTCTGACTTACTGAGTAAATTCCTTGCGTCTCAGGTATGTTGGCGGACGGTCAATGAATGCCGATATGTTCCACGCGGTATTCCAGCCTTCCATGACCCAGTCCTCTTCTGCCACATGCTGCGACTATTTGGGTGAGGGCTGGAGGTACGTTCTGGACTACACCAACTGCTGCTAGACGGCTCAACAGATGCATGACAAGGTCACTCGTCTCCATGACAGGAGCCACTTTTTGGAGTGCTGAGGCACTCAGATTCACACCCATGCCGGATAGGCTCTACTGGTCCGGCCGCCCTCGCTTTGTGTTTTTTCTATCGCCAGAAGTCTTCGAGCGATATTGCAGGCAGGCTTCTTTCAAGATTAAAACACAAAGAGGAGTGACCCAAGGCCAGAGACACACGATTTTGCATAATGCGCCTGCGCTCCTTGCAAGTTCTAGCAGCTTGAAGCCCCGAGATGGGCGAGAACTACTACAACCACGACTACTACGACTACTACTTACTACAGTACTACTGCTACTGCTACTACTACTACTACTACTACTACTGCTTGAACCTGAAGCCCTCTCCATGTATAGTCAGTGTAGGCGTGGAGCGCTTGCACGAAGCAGGACCTTGTGTCAAGGATTGTGGCCG